TAGTTCAGAAAGTACAGTCCCTAAACAGTAATCACATGCTTCTGATGACAACATTGAAATACCAAAAAATCAAGAGCATATTGATCCAACATAAGAGGACTAGAACATTGATTGAACCCAAGAGGTTTAAGATCAAAGAGAACCCCAACTTGTTGTTGTCGAAAAAGAACAATCACATGTGGTTCATACTTATACAATCTTGCCAACAACCAATATGCATCCACTCACAACTACATCAACTATTCTTCATCCCCCCATTCAGGATTCTACATCCAAAACTCTTGGCACTCCTCTCAGTCGTGAAGAATTAAATGCTATGAAAGAGAAGAATCATGTAGAGGTTTTGAAGATTCTTATGAGCACTCAAAGAATTTTTGTCGAAAAATATCCAAGCTCTTCAACTACTTAAAGAAACGAGCCCTCTAGTAACTCTTCTAATGTGTTGATTCAACTATTGAATACAAAAATTGTTGACGTGGGTCTGTTTCAAACAATTGAAGACAAACTTGTCATTGTCTATGATATCAAAATCTTGTTGAAAAAACTTAATACCCAGATTTACCTGATTCCATTGTCAGTTTCATCCTTGAGTTCGAGCCATTTCTTGAATAAACAACTCAGAACATCAGAATAAAGAAAGAATCTGCCAACAGATTCAAAAAACATATTGATGCCAAGGCTCAGCAATGGGCCTTGGTTACTCGATCTCAAGGTCGAGTTAATGCGCTGGAAGCACATGCCAAAGGGGACAAGGATCAGGTAGCTATTTTCAATGCCAATATTTTAAATTGGACGAAACATGTGGAGGAGCTACAACTAAAGATTGAAGATGAGCGACAAAAGAAAGTTGAAACGAGACTTTAAGGCTGACCCCTATTGATGAAAAACTGGTTCAAAAAACCAAAATTGGTCTTTAATATGCTAATGATGCTTGTGCGTTGGACGAGGAAGTGCAAAAACTAAAGACTCTATGAACGACACCAAGATCAGATTCTCCAAGAAACGTCTCAAGGACTTTAAGACTTGTTTCTAATTTAGCCACGTCCTGTTTCTAATTTAGCCACATGGCATTTTCATTCAAGCATCAGGGTTTGTAATTTTTTTCCTATTCGTTATACCCCCTTGCGAAATTAGGGTTTATGTGAAGACTGAGCTGTGAAGATGACGATTTCGTAGGCGATGAAGCAAGATGTAGCAAGACGACGATTCAATAGGCGACGTAGGTTGACAACGAAGATGAAGCTTGCAATGTCTAAGGTGTGTTGATTTTGAAACTTCAATACAGTTAAAGTGTAGAGTAATACAGTGGGAATTTTATGTTAACTAAGTTTGATGCATTCACAGGATTTCCGACCTTTTACTGTTACTTTTCACCATGGGGGTGAATTTATTAGGGTTAATACGGCTGAAATTATTTACAGATGGGGGGTTGATTCTACTGTAAATGGGCTTGAAGTTACTAAGTAGATGATAGGTCATGTTATGAAGTTGGTACATGGGTGGGGGTATAAGAAGGGGACCTTTCGTTTATTGACAAAAGTTTTAGAGATTCAAGAAGGATATATTTTGATAAAAAAAGGATGATGATGCATATGATTTTGCATCATTCTTTAGTACAATGAATATCGTTGGATATTTATTTGTGGAACATTCTCAGGGAGGATTGGATGCTGATGATATAGAATCTAAATGTGTTAATGAGATGAATAAAATGGATGGGTTGAAAGAGGAGATGGTTAAAGGTTTAGATGATTGTGAAGATGAGAGAGCTACTGCTCAGGAATCGATGTTACATTGACATTGAATGAAGATGTAAGTCTTAGTGGGCTTTTTGGTAGGCCTAAGAAGACCACGGATGAGGATGAATACCTTAATGATGAGTTGAATAGTGATGACTCGGATGATTCTTGTGATGATGAAAGGCCCAAGTATAAAAGGTTTAGAAAAGATCACCTCAACAAGGACTACAAGTTTAAGATGGGTATGGAATTTAATTCACTTGTGTAATTTAAGGAGGCTATTCGTGAGTGGTCAAAAGTAGAAATGGAACAAGTTTTACCACCATCATACAAGAGAGGTCCAGGAAGGCCTAGGAAGGTAAGGATAAGAGAGGTTGGAGAGGAAGGTGCGAGAATAAGAAGACATGGGGTTGCATATAAGTGCACAAGATGTGACAAGTTTGGGCATAATGCATTGACTTGTAAGTCATTGACACAAGATCCCAATGCCCTGAAAAGAAAGGTATAATTGTTTCTCAAAATTCATTCTGTTGTACAAAATTTTTGGTGACTAATCTAACATATTATTAATTTTGCAAAGGAAAGTTAAAAATTTTGGTGAAGCTGAGAGTACACTTCCAACTGATGCACAAAGTGCGGATGAAAATTCTAGGAAGAAATCTGTTCCAACTAATGTACATAATGCAGATCCAATTGGTGGGGAGAAGTCTGTTCCAGTTGATGTACAGAATGTAGATCCAACTGATGGGGAGAAGTCTGTTCCAAGTGATGTACAAAATGCAGATCCAACTGATGGGGAGAATTCTGTTCCAACTGATGTACATATTGCAGTTCCAACTGATGGACATAGTACAATGGTTAATGATTCACATATTGTATCTGTTGTAGCTAACTCAAAGAAACAGAAAGGAAAGAAGCCAGTTACCAAAAGAAGGAAAAGTGAAAGGATCAAGTTGAGTTGGTTTAAGAAACCAATTACAGGCCCGAGATCTAGTGAGCAGTCAATCACCATAATAGAAGTTGGAGAGAAGTCGGGTTCAAAGGACTCCAAACTAGGAGTGAAAACAAGGTTTATGAAGACATGGGGGACCAAAAAATTTAGAGACTAAATTTTATGTTATCTTTAATAGACCTAAGGGTTTGACATATGCACCTAGTGTGCCTTTTATTTGGTTGTATTATTACCGTGTTTGACATATGCACCAAGTGTGCCTTTTATTTGCTTGTATTATTATTGTGTTTGACATATGCACCAAGTGTGCCTTTTGGTAATACTGTAATTGATGCTCACAATTGTGATAATGTGTCCTCACCTGATTTGATATATGTAACAGAAAACAGTTAGAGACAAAAATTCGCATTATGAGTCGATACATGTTAGCATAAGTCGACTCATGTTAGTTATACAACACAAAATGAGTCGATGCAAGTTGTTATGAGTCGATGCAAACTGATACTACAATATATTACAAAGTCAACCATTTTACATGAGTCGATATATAACACGTATGTATCGACACATACTGAATTGAATTTTGATTTTTGAAGATAAAACGTGTTATGTGTCGAAGCATGGAATTACGTATCGATGCATATAAGTTGAAACTTGTTTTCTAGGGACATCAACATATCATATGTCGATGCATGAAGTTATGTATCGATGTATAAAGGTTGAAAATTGTATTCCAGGAGCATCAACATGTTATGAGTCGATACATGGCATGGATGTGTCAACTCATACTAAAGCAGAATCATTTTTATGATTCTTTGCTTAAGTATGTGTCGATGCAAAGCTCTTTGTGTCGACTCATAACTGTGTTTTATGTGTAAAACACATTCTTTTGCTGTCAAAATTTTGCTTTCAATGAATGTAACATTGGTGTCATAGACATATTCACTGTCAACGAATGTAACTTTAATTAAATTACACAAAACTTAAAATTTCATTCAACAAAACATAATTTGTCTTACATTGGGTACCAAAAATTAGAGTTTAATTCAAAACAAACTTGTCTGTCTTACAAATCATGACAGACCAAGATCCATTACAAACCATACCAACTACTTAAAATACACAAATGCAAATAACAACCAAGACAAAACAATTGCAGTCATCATCTAGAAATTCTCTGTCTTCTCCAATGCAAGCTTTCTCTTCAGTTTTTCCACCTTATTTGATCTGTCCTCAACGATCTCCTCCGTAAATTCACGCAAATAATCCTTGCTCATGTCACATTCGCAACACATAGATGAATTCACTTCAGCCTCGCTAACCATGTCGTCCCAGAGAAACAAACCGCAACCATTCTGCATTTTTACCCAATATTAAAACATAAACAAATGAGAAGGTTCATATAAGAAGAATTACAATCTCATAAACAACTCACCATGGAATTATGCATTTTCAGAATTTTCTGCTTGGATTTTCAACGGTGTTAGACACCCATAACTTCATGTTTTCGTTACAGCCACATCTTGGCAAACTCTTACTTGTTGAAGAACACTTGCTTCCACCCATGACGACCGGACGCCTGTAAACGACAGCAGCTTCAACGGAAAATGAACTCTAACGACTAATCATCTTCGCAACACGGATTTCTCACATAAACCCTAACATTGCAGGGGGTTATAATGAATATAAAACATAATTTACAACTAGGCAAGGTGATGATTTAATTAAGAATGCCACGTGGCTAAATTGAAAATAGGACATGACAAATAAATCTACATGTCACTCAAGATTCTATGACATCTGACCAGTGGAGGAGGGGGGTCTGAAGAAATCTACATAACACAAGAGGGAATTAAAAAAATAAACTTTACAAAAAATTAAAACTTGAATTCGCTAATATTACATAGGGTATTTTTATATTTATCCTATTATTTAATCTCATAAGCATTATCTGAAAACACACACTTGTCTAATTCAAAACGAGTCATCCCAATTTAGTGACCATTAAAACCATATATGGACGTGGCATTCGATATGTTATTTAAATTTTCAAACCTATCAACAATATTTGATTCATTATTTTTATATTAAGAAAAACATATGGCAAATGAATTAATGTAATTGATAAAATCACTAAAAACAAGAACTTTTTTATATCTAAAATCTCATCAACTAAACTATTTATTTATGATTAGGAAAGAAGAAAGAATGACAAGTTACATAAAAAAGAAAAAGACATATATACTTGTTCCTCGACACCCCCAAAAGGAAAGAAAATAAAGTTGGCCAAAAAAGCATGATGCAACAAATCAACTTTGACTTTGAAGTGCCAATCCACCGATAGTGGTTCCTGCAATAAATCCTCCCGACCAAGCATTCTGTATACACAGACAACAAAACAAAATGAATGAAGCTCTTAAGTCTTGACTCTATCATCAATCAAATAACAGAAATAAATCAATGGTTCACAGAAAAAATGGACCCTCTAATTATTCCAATAAATTAAGGTCCATGAAATTTTATTTAATTGCAAAACAACATTCACCTTAATTCCTAGGTAGATATCTCCCTTCTAAAGTCAACAAGGATATTATTAAGGAAAGAATATAAAATTGACTTTACGATTAAAGTTAGATGTGGAAATAAGCGGGATCGAATTAGGTTTCGAGTTTAAGTTACGCCGGTTAAAAAGAATCAAAATCTTATTAACTTGTTATTCTAGTACTTCAAATTTTATTTCATTTGTATGTATTTAAATAAGTAATTCGATTTATGTTTAAATAGGCTAACGATATAAAATACTAACACTAAAAATTTATTTGAATTGAATTATAAGAACTTTCTTAAGGATATAAATTTTGTGAGTTTATTTGTTTGAAAAAACTTATAAAAACAATTTAGAATTTGTTTGGATTGACTTATTTGAATTTTTTTATTGACATAAATTTTATGACATTGTTTGAGAAAGATTATCAAAACAACTTATAATATTTTTCATATGTATTTCTTAACTTATTTTTGTAAGTTCTCCAAAATAATTTATAAAAATAACTTATATCATATAAAAAAAATTAAATATCTTTTTGTTATAAAAATAACTTATGCAAATTTATCTATAAGCACATTTTTAAATAATCATTTCATTGTTTACCTGGAAATTGAACCCACCAGTGACCCCATCAACATTCAGTATCTGCATTAGACACATCAATTTAATCACCATAAAATACAGTTACATATGCTTCTTCAAAAATTCAAATGAAAAAAAAAAAAAACAAGTTTAAGTTACCTCTCCAGCAAAGAACAGATTTGAACAAATTTTACTTTTCATTGTATTCAGTGAAATCTTCAGCAAAATAAAAAAAAAAACTTAAGTAAATGCGAACTCGAACCAATAGAAAAATGTAAAAAGAGAAGTTGAGAAATAATGAGAAACAGAACCTCAGATAATGGAACACCTCCAGCAGTAACAAATTCATCTTTAAATGGACCCTTAAATAATAGAAAACCAGTTATGTTATTATCAATGCTACTTCAGAAAATGAATGAGTAAATAGTAGGAAATCGTACTTTGCCTGTAATTTCAAATGCGCATTCCTTTAACAAAGATCCGATAGACATCAACGAGTTATTTGAAATCGAAGCCCATAAGATATCGCCACTTAAACCCTGCATATGAAATAGTCCATATAGTTTCTAAAGATTTTTTTTCTTTTTCATTACAATGTACACTTGTTAAAAGATGTTAGAAACATTTATAAAACCTGTCGTTCCAATACGTAGCTCCAGAATCTTTTTGTTATGCCAAATTCAAGAGGACACGAATTGATCACTTTTTGTTTCTGCAAAACACAACCAACCGGCCGCAATCTTTAAGTGAATGACATCGTAGTTGAAATTTACGATTGCTTATATAGTCTATGGTCATTCTTTTCACAGTTAAAATTTAATGCTAGCTTCTAAACCCAAGTAGCAAGAATTCAATGTAACTTTATACTGAACCATAATTTACCGCAAATTGAAGTTTGTGACGGGAAAGACTTGTCTTCAAACTCTCGACATGCACATCAGGTATAAAATCTACAACAAGTCTCCCTGCATTGAATTCAAGAAGTTGTATCGATTTCATAATGATTTTAGAGCTTCCAAACACAAGGAGGGTACATTTACCTTTGTAACCTGAACTAAACAGAAAGCGAGCACCCCAAGCAGACAAACGAAGAATAGCCGGTCCACTGAGTCCCCAGTGAGTAACTAACATCGGACCGACCTAGTAGAATTTCAAAATATTATGCATAAGCATTTTTTCATTATTTGACCTGTAGGAATGATAACGCAAAAATAAACACACCTGTGTAAGTTGAGGTATATTTTTTTGGAGACTGTCCAATTTTAGTCGCACTTTAACTTTAGGAAATGTAACCTGTGAAAATTAAGCAAAAAAATATGAAGGAGAAGAAATGAAACTTCAAATTAGATTGCAAGAGTTTCAAAGATTGAAACTTAACCCCAGACAACTCCCTCAAACGCAAGTCTTCAATTTTGAATGTAAACAAGCTCGGCATTGGCTCTACGATTGAATGGCCAAGCTGAGATGCAAGTTCATAACCCTGTAACAGAAAGAAACTGATTTATACATTCATATCTAATCCATGAATCTTAGTTCAAATCAACTATAGACCACAACCTGTCGGTTACTTCCAGAAGCAATCAATAGATAATCAACTTCAACATGTTCAATCGAACCAGCTGGTAGTTGCTTAATCTCGAGAAGGAATTTTCCACCAGGTAAAACAGACACCGCAGTTACATTTTTTTTGGTCTGCATAGAAACTAACCGGGAAGAAACAATTCAGCATTAATAATTTGAAAGTTCATCATTGTAAAAATAAGTGACATAAGTTGGTCTATCACATATGAACCTCAATAATTCAAGAATCAACTTATAAATGGAATGGAAAAAGAAAAGTGGTTGTCTACACTTAGTTTAGGTAGTGGTTCATTAGAATGAATCAAGATTTAAAATGAGATTCATATCCAAAATAGATACACACTAGAGATTCATATTCATATGGACTGGGTTCAGTTTTGTGTTGAAAATAGATTCTACTCACATGTATCATAAGATAGTGATAACAATGCTAAAAACACATGTTTCACCAACCATAATCCACACGATGAAGAAGTCAAAAACATTATTTACTAAAGACCTGTTTGGTGGATAAGCAACTTATTTGCAGCTTATAAACACAAGTGTTTACGAAAATAAGCTCTTATGAATAAGCTTTTATAAGTCATTTTTATAGCAAAAGATAAAATAAATTTAAATGATGTTTATATATGCTATAAATTGTTCTCATAAGCTATCTCGAAGAACTTATAAAAATAAGCTAAAAAAGTTTATAAAAAATGTTATAAGTTGTTTTGATAAAGTCTCTCAAACAGTGTCTCAAAACTTATGTCACTAGATAAGCTCGAATAAGTCAATCTAAACAAGCCCTAATTCAACATACCTCCCCTTTGATTTACTTCAGACATGAGACAATCAATTACTGAAGAAGAGCTGTTGCTAACAGGAAACGCTCTACCATCATCCTCAATCTATAAGAAGTTGATCATCAATCAGAAACACACTAGAAACCGAAACCGAAACAGTAACGAGATGCATTTTAAAGAACAACCTTCAGCTCCACCCCATGAGAGGAAAACCAAGACATGGTATCCTCAGGACCGTGCACATTAAAAAAAGATCCTCTCAGTTCTTTGTGACCTCTTGGATAGTTTTCTGCCAAAATCTACAAACTAATCATCTTCCAAACATTGAGTTACTACCACAGTATAGACTAGTAAAGCAATTAAATGCAAGTTGAAGTAACACAACCAAACTAATACATGACTGAAATCAACAACAATATTAATAAAATTAACGAAACTAAATTCAGTTCATCCACTCTATTCAAATAGCTTAAGTAAGCGCTTATCATATAAGCTATGTAGAATCTTTATGGACACGTCTGTAAGTTGTTTTGCATCACAAGGAAAGGAGGATTACCAAATTGTCAGCACAATGCCCATTTGTCACGTTGCACCGGCCTCCTCCCGAAATTTTGACCTGCAAATAAAACCATGAGAAGAAGAACAAAACAAAAGAGAACATGAAAAACAGCAACATTGAATACATCACAATAGCACACCATCCACATGCAGTCAAAAGGAATATGATACATTCACAGACCTTGGAAAGAGGCTTTCCCTTCTCAACAATGATCACATTTAGATGACGAGCAATAGTCTTGGCATGAATTGCTCCATACACCCCTGCTGCTCCACCTCCAACAACCACCAACTTTTCCTCCTTAAAGTTAACAAAAAAACAAAATAACACATTGTAAGTGCATGTCTATTTCATCATGCTATAGCATGGTTACTTTTGAGGCAATACCAATAGCATTTTACGTAACATTAAAAATCGCGACCGCTATTTAAAACTCTAGCTATAGTGTCTGGACCATTCGTAAGGCCCATGGCAAAAGGCCCAAGAGCGAACTTCAAGTTAAAAGGCGCACAGAAACAGATAGACCTCCGCTTGGGCAGAAGCAGCCAATTCCGCCCTTCAGATTCAATCAGACGACTCTCACACATCATGCCACATCACACGCGAACAGTTTCAATGGCTCTTGATATATAAGAGTAAAGTGTGTCATTTCAAGTACTCAAATTCATTATCCCTCCTCATTTCTCTCACTGACTTGCGCGTTGGAGTGCTAACCTTACAGGTCCGTCCCAGTCACCAAAGTGAGACACAACTCCGCCACCTTATCTTTCATTTCTAGTGCTAACTTAACATATATCATCTTCAATTTTAACCATTTACCTCCTATTGTTAATCTAATTAAATTTTGAGAAAAACCTTTGTTTGTAAGCATTTTAAATTTCCAGTTTGTTATTATATCCACTTACTCTTTCTAATCCAATTGAACCATGATACATACAAAAATTGTTTCTCTCTGACTAAAAGGTTCAAAAGTTATCTAGTAATGTGAAACTGAACGTAGTTAATTTAAAAAAAAGCATACCTTTTTAGCATGGCAAATGACATGGGTAGTGCAGGTTCTTTTCCAGGGTGTGGAGACAAGGGTTGTGAGTTTATGAGAGTTGAAAAGAGCAAGACAGAGGGAGAAGCAGTTGGGTATAACGGCTGCCATAGACATGGTCTGTCTCATCTCATCCCGAATGCAAATGCTGTTGATTCTGCCGGGAGGGAGAAATTGCAATTTTCTATCAATGTGTTTAAAATTAAAAGGCTACTAGATCATTTACATCATTTTAGGACTAAATATTGTTTATTTGTTTTTTGTTTTTTGTTTTTTCATTTTTTATTAATAGATTTTATAGAAATTATTTGTTTTGTGGAATTTATTACTCCCTCCATTCCATATTATTTATCGATCATTTTATATAAATTAAAAAATATATATATATATTAAATTAAGATAAATAACTATTGTGTATTCAAATTAGTATTAATGTTAAATCAAAAAATAATAAATATAGAGTATTTATTAAAGAGTATAATTGAAAGATTAAATATAAAATTACATTAGTAATATAAAGTGACAAATATTTTGGAACCATTTTTTTTCTAAATGTAACACTTAAGTGTTATGGCAATGGATAAATTTATTTAAAAATTATATGACGTGTTTCATTCGATTTAAGTATTGAAAATAAAGACAATTGTATTGAATTATGTTACAATTTCTTAAAATTTAGAAGAAAAAATATTAAAAGTATATTTTATTTTATTTTATTTTATGCATAATCCATAAATCCAACTCAATCCATAAATGATCGGGTTGATTTGGTTCTGTTTTCGGAAGAAATTAAAGGTTGAACAACGAACCTAACCCATTGAAATTTGAACGAGTTGGATAATGGATTAGGTTAGATTTAGTTCAATCCACTCGTGTACACCCCTACAAAATAATTTTGAAAATCTAGGGAATTGCTTAATGCACTCTAAGGATTACTTCTTCATTCTAGTAAGAAATCAAAATTATTCTTAGAATTCGGGAATGCATCTCCGGACGCACCCGAAACACACATCATTCATCCATTTTTGAGTCACGCTCCAATTATCTGACTGAATTTAACCCAGAAATACATCTTCGTATACCTTATTGAGGTGTATTTCTGGAACCTACAAAATCAGAAAGAAATGCATAATCGAAACAGATGCAAAAACAAAGATAAATTAACATTAATAACATAAAAAATGAAATATTACATAGATAATCGTTAACATAAATCGAACATTACATTTAAACATTAAGATGGATGTTTCAACATCTCCATAATATTTTCAATCGATCTCGCAATCGTCGCATACAACTCGATCGCAAACTTTATTTTGTAACGATTAAATGTATTCCACATAACCCTTAAATTTGCATTCGTCTTCAGCTCAAAGTTCTTGAATTGAATCTTCCCTTCATTGTCAATCAAGGGTGAACGGTACCCGAACTTCACAATTCTTTGATTCTCTGAGTATTGTGGAAGACTCTCTAGTATGAATTTCATATCTACAAGAGTGGTGTACTACGTGAACTTAAATGCAATTGAGGGCTCCATGTCGTTAAAGTAGACACATGTGACATGCAAAATTATGTTCATTATGGATTAATGTGATTTTGTAAAAAATATGAAATGAGGACCCATATTTTTACAAGTTATAGGCCAATATGAACCTTAGAAATTCAATCTTGTACTAGGGAAAATTTTGAAAATGCATTTCTGGAACCACCCTATCTTGATCTTACGAAAATGCATTTTCAAAACCATCAAACACATAATCAATTTAAAAAATAGTCAGACTCAAGATCTATTTTAAAATGGAAAACAGAGAAATGTTTTGGAAACTTAAACATATATTGAAATCTTTGAAAATGTATATATTTGACATCATTAATATTAAGACAAGATTACATATAAAACATGTATAACCACATAAATAAATTATTTAGTAATAACTAAAATGAATCGAAGCATGTGTTACCGTTCAAATCTATATGCATAGGTGTTTGCTCCTTTGAATTTTGTTTATTTGTTTCTCTTTCAATCTTACTCAACTTGGTTAGTTCTTGCATCCTGTCCAAAAAATGATTCGGCCAAGTTTCAGTTTCCCTTTTTGAATGAGCTCTCCACTCCGGTGATGTCATTGGTATAGTGCACCACAAATTCGAATATAGTGTCGCATTTTTTAAAACCATTCAATACACATAATACGATAATTTGGATTTTGAGGTGGGGCAGTGCCTAGTAGAAAAAATGTTTATAAAAAACAATATCTTGTCAGATTAATACACACTCTTTTATACGTATTTGCTATAAGATGGCCCATTTTAGGAAAGCGCGTCCATTTTTCCTCTGGTGCCAGACCACAAATGCAAGGAATAAGAGATTCTTGAATTGCATTAAAATTTTATTTTTACCCGTACAGACGTGTGTATGATTCTTTATGGCCTTTTAACTCTTTTGTAGTTCCTTTTGATTTGTTGCTTTAGGTAAAACAACACATGTACACAATGTATTTTTTGCAGAGGCAACATGTGAAATAAGATGTTCTAGCATGTGTTCCAGCATCTGGCCCAAGTCTATTAGCTAGAATTCATGAAGAAATCTGAGTGTGATTGTGTTTATTTATAAGAAGGTTTGTTCAGTCTAAGTTTCATCTACATTCCAAGTTTCAGAAAGATTTGGTTGTAAGCAACTTGTTGAGCAAAATGTTCAGCATGTGTTGTGTGACATCTTGGCGTAAGGATTGGGCTCTTATTATCTTCAGATTTCCTTTAAATTGTTTGTGTTAATTTCTTCTAAAGATGCAAAAAGTTTGCTTTAGGAAGAAGTTTGTTAATCCAAATCAATATTGACGATATGAGTTAATTAAAAGATTTGAATTTGATTTAGTTAAGGATTTGACTGGATGTGCATCGAAGGAAGATTTGGTTCAGATTTATTTAATCCAAGATTTACTTTAAAAAGAAGATTTATATGAAAAAAGTTCATTTGAATGTTCTGGTGGAACATAATGTTCCAGTGTGTGTGCAGTGCAACACCGGGCCCTTGTCAGTATGTCGTGATTGACGTTCTTAGCTGCAAATTTTCTGATTATTTTCAATCAGATTTATTGCTATATTTTAGCAATGTGTTATGGATATTTTTTTGATTAGATTGGATGATATCAAATCAATTTAAATGTAGATTTGAATTTGAATTTGAATTATAACAAATCATATATTTTGTTGGAGGCTTTTGTGGAATAAATAAAAACAGAATCCAAGTATATTTGAATGTGATCTCAGCTGATACCTAAAGGAGAAAAGCCTAAAGTTAGCATTGTTATATAAGGAGACTTAAGCGTCACGCTTGAGGTGTGAAAGTTTTGAAGATTCCTTATGTTAGGGTTTATATTTTGAGTTTTTGTTTGTGTTATCTTTATGCACCACTCTAGCGCCTCCAAGATATAAATTCTATAAGCTTGAGAATAAAGTATTAGTGAAGGACGATTGTTTCATATTTTCAATCATATTGTAATTGTCTAAACCCTTGGAAGAGTGTTTGAGTGAAATTAGAGGTTTTCATGTTTATGTGGAAAGTATTACGAAGTTTCACGGGTAGTATTAGGAAAATAACCTTGAATTTGGAGAATTTAAAGTATGCCCATTTGTCCTCTTGACTATTGAGAGAAAAAAAGTTCTATAGGGAGTCCTAAATTGAAATACATTAGGTAGAATTAAGAATAGTGGCATTGGACCAGGGGAATGTTTATCTAAGACACTTTTTACTAATTCTACAGAAGAGTGTATTTACTTTATTGGGTAGAGTGCCATCTAGATGTAGGTGTTGTATGCACTGAACTGGGTTACCAATTCTCTTGTGTTCTTTATTGCTTTTTTTGTAAAATCAAGCTTCTCTAATGAGATTTTGTTTTGATGAATACAAATCATGATTGACAAAGAAGGCAAAGATTTATGATCAAGCTCAAAGCATCTAAGGACAATATCTTCAGTTCAAAGCTCTCAACAACTTTCAAGGTATAATAATATTACTTACTTTGATCTTAAGATATAGATGCTCAATGATGAAAAATAAATGCGTAAAAAATCATTACTCAAGTTTTTCAAAGTTAAAATTTCATTTTTCACTTGAGTGCAATCGATTTGCATTTTAGTGCAATCGATTGCATGCTTCAATTTTTCAGATCTTTTGCTTCTGTTTCTCTGTGCAATCAATTTACGTTGCTTGTGAAATCAATTGCATACTTAAAATTTTCAAAATGTTTGCTTCTGTTTCTCAGTGCAATCGATTTACATTGCTAGTGCAATCGATTGCACTCACTTACTTTTTGCTGCTGACTTTACATGCAATCGATTTACATTGCTAGTGCAATCGATTGCACTCTTAAAACTTTTGAAAATATAGCTGTTGAAACCTTGTGCAATCGATTTACACAAAGGGTGGAATCGATTGCATGCTGCACGATTTTGAAAAAAAACAGCTTTTCACATGCATGTTCATCATGCCTTTTCATTAAAACCTTTCACTCAATCTTGGCATTTGTTCATGATACATTTTCAGAACTTCATGATGTTTCAAAAGGGTGTTATGAACATATAAATATTCATTTTCAAAATCTGTTTCAACACCTCTTCCATAAATATTTTCTGAATTTTCAAAATACAAACTCAAGCATTTCTTCACTTTCATGCATAAGTTTTCTGCACATTTTCATACATTGTTAAACAGAAAACATTGAGCAACTATATCTTGAGTCATTGTACAATAATATCATTGGAAGAGAAGATCATACATTGTTAAATCACTCTAAGTGATCAATACTACTCAACTCACTCAAACTCAAAAATTGATAGTTACTTACTTATTTTTCCATGATTGTTGGAAATAAGTTTAAGTGTTTTTGAAATCTTGTCTTTCCAAAATTGTTGAATACAAGTGTAGTCACTTTGAGAGGATTGTTCTCATAGTTGACATAGTGAAAATCCAAGAGGATTGTTCTTGGTCCAAGAGGATTGTTCTTGGTTGTTTGGTAGTTCTTGTTTAAGTTTGCCACAATAAGGAAATCTCTTTCATGTTGAAAGGGCACTGGAGTACTCTCGGACTGTGAGGGGAACCAGGATATATCGCCCGTGTCTTTTATTTTTCT